ATTTCTGTCCATCTCTATTTCGGAGTCTTTATATCTACCTACATCAAACTGTTTTCTCAATCCATTTATTCAAAAAAACTAGTCTCCACAAATCTGCACTTGGAAAAAAATATGATGACCCGAAGAGGCGTTCACTTTAAGACGGACAGAAAAAAGAGAAGCGACTTGTCTAGCTGTAGAAATTCAACCTCCTCTCACAATACATCACTAATTGCATAAAGACACTTGTCGATTATTCGACTTGCTTTTATTTGTCAAGTTCCACTTTGAGTCGGACATGTGTTGAACATTTTACGGACAGGAGGGCACCTAGTGTGTTTTGTATGTGAAAACGCCTGGCTTAGCTCGATAAGATCAATATGTCCATCAATCGATGCAACGATCGATACGTCTATTATTTCGATTCGGAATTTAATTATCTTTTCCTCTTGGCGTTTATATAATTGCTACTTAATATCTATCTATCCATCTATCTATCTATCTATCTATCTATCTATCTATCTATTTCAATTTCTATTTATCATGGTATCTATCTATCTATCTCTATCGATTTCAGTCTATTCATTAACACTTAAATCTATCTATCTATCTATTTATCCATCTACTTACCTATCTATCTATCTATCTATCTATCTATCTATTTATCTATCTATCTATCTATCACAGTCTCTATCTCTCTATCTCATTCTATCCTCAACTATCTACCTACCTATCTATCTTACCCCCTGGAAATCTAATTTTCTTTTTTTTTCCTTTCCTCAATTTTTGTTTCCTTTTCTTTCTTTTCTTTCCTTTCCTTCTTTATTTCTTTCTTTCTTTCTTTCTTTCTTTCTTTTTTCTTTTTTCCTTTCTTTCTCTTTTTTTGTTCTTTCATTCCTTCTTAGTCTGTGTTTTCCCTTTTTCTATCTATTTCTCTATATCATTCTGCGAAAATTTTCTTTTCTTTCTTTTCTTTTCTTTCTTTCCTTCTTTCTTAGCCTGTGGATACCATATTTTCTTTCCTTCTTTCTTTCTTTCTTTCTTTCTTTCTATCTGTCTATCTATGTCTCTAAGTCTGTTCATATCTATCTATCTAACTATCAATGTATCTCTCTCTCTATCTCTCTTTATATATATATATATATATATATATATATATATATATATATATATATATATATATATATATATATATATTTTCTTTTTTCTTTCATTTTACAATGGCGAGCAACATAATTCAGCAAAGCACTTTCAGGTGTCGTAATTGTAGTCATTCCGGACTGTAATGGTAGTTGTCGTATTCACGTGAACACATCACGATACAAACCTGAACACATCGTGATACAAACCTGAACACATCGTGATACAAACCTGAACACATCGTGATACAAACCTGAACACATCGTGATACTGAAAATAAACCATTCAAAAGTTATGAACCACTTCAAATCCCGTCCCCCATTAACATAATCTCAGATTTAATTTTGTTGGGAGTTTTGTTACTTTCTATTTACTATTAAAATCTTTTTCTGAATGTTTTTTTGCACTATTAAAATCTATTACGGGTGTTTTTAATATAAACAAGTATTTTTATACTTTCGTAATGTTTTCCTGGTAGCTATAATCTCCAACTATTCAAATATAATGTCAATCGAGATCTTCTGTTGCCTTGATCTATCCACTATCCTTCTCCTCATCCTTTCCTCTATCACTCCTATCTGATCTTGCTTCAAATCTTCTGTAACCCCTTGCGTCCTAGTGGCTTCCCGCCTTGTTGGGGTGAAACGCTTAAAAAGAGTTTGGGCGTTCACTATTAACCCATGGGACCCGAACAGGTGCTACCACCCCAGGTCAGGGTGCACCTAGGAACAACAGCAATTAAGAGGTAGTTCCACGATCCTCACAACCTACCGATCAGAGGGTTTACTGCCGTATATAGTTTATTGTTATACCTAGGACGGGGGGTGTATGTGGTGTGGTGAGGGGGTCTGTTAAGTACAGGTTAGTGCGGTACATGGATGCAAATATGATGAACTCGGTGAGAATCGAAACAACGACAGCAGTGTTTCTCAACCACCTTTTTATTCAGGGTGCACTGGGGTACACTTTTATAAGGAAGAATTAATTATGAAAATTGAAAATATGAAATTTTGTTTTCGAATACTCAAAGAAAATTTGCGGTAAGTGATTTATAAAAAAAATCTGGATCTTTTTTTAGAAAAACCGATAATGTCTGATTTAAATCCCTTAAGGAAGGCAGAAAAGAAAGGATTATCCACTCCTTCTTAAAGATTAAGGAATTTTTCATCCAGCTTAAAATGTCAAATGACAAAAATTTGATTTAGACATGGAAGCCATTTTCTTGGTGTCTAGGTTTATAAAATAATTTTTTTAAGTATAAAAGTAATTCATAAATTACTCTTTCCAGGTTCGCTAGAGCAATTACGACTGAGTAGTGAGTTCGATCCTCACTGGGTACCCCACATTTTAGGCCTTGTGCCACATCTACGCTACACCTAGAAAATCACTATAAGTTACCCCTCTGTTAACTTGTGGCTCACCTAGTTACCTTTCAGGGCGCATTAGTTCGCCTGGGCGCACTGCTTGAAAAATGCTCAAGTACAGTAATGAGCTTCGAGACGAGCTCGTTAATCACACTTCTCAAAACCTGGTTCCCCGTTCCTCAAAACATCCCAATCAGAGGCCTCGCTGCCGGATGTAGTTTATCGTCATATCCAGGACTGTGGAACACATTTTTTCCAAGCGATGTTTTTCTCAAGAGATGTTTGGAAAACATCGCTTCAAAATGAAACTGTCATCCAAAAGGTTTAATATTGCCCGGGGATATAACAGTAAGAGATAGATCAAGTATCGACCATCATAAAGACTGAAAAATAAAAATGACAAAGATTATTGTTTAAGGTTGACGGACACACATGTCTTAATTATTTTTTTTTTTTTTTACGAATTGGTTAAACCCAAACTCAAACAATCGTTATGAGTCTACCGATTGAATAGAATTTTATTATAAACAATTATCTTGTAAACGGAATTTTTAAAGCATTCTGAATGTAAAAATAAAGAAAAAAGTGTACAAGACAATAAGAAACACTACCTGCCAAAAAAAAAGTGAAGTTTTGTTGAAATCGGTTGTAGGAAATCCGATCCCATATATAAACGAACACACACACGCACAAACAAACAAACAACCTAGGTTTTATAATAAGTATAACTCGATATGAGTTGTCCCCCTTTCATTAATGCCTCTTAATCGGGTTTTCAAATTAATTTCGTGCAAAAACAATTTTTCCAATTTTTGGCACTGTCAGAACCACCGCAAAGTAATTTTATGTAGTCCTGTGAAGTTTTGTTGAAATCGGTTGAAAAATGTAGGAAATCCGATCCAATATATAAACGAACACACACACACACAATCTGCGTTTTATAATAAGTAAGATTATAATTTAGGCACTACTTCTGGATCGAGCACTGATTTTAAAAATAAAAACAAAAATAGTAAAGAACTTCGGATCATCAATCTAACAGTTCTTTCCTATTATATCACACACACACACACACACACACACACACACACACACACATATATATATATATATATATATATATATATATAATATATATATATATATATCGTTATTGCAAATTTATAAATGTACCACTCGCCTGTGAATTAAATACTGTTGCCATATTTCATCTGGTGCTCCGACTATATCTCGAGATTCATAACAAACTTCCGATGTATTCGATCCTAAACCAAGCATCTCGACTTCAGTCACTTTCTCACCGACGTGACGTGGCTTCCCTCTGTCTTTTCTGCAACTATTTTCATGCCAACTGCTCTGACGAGCTATTTTCCTTGGTGCCCCGACTGCATGAATTTAGATTGGTACCTCGGTCCCACCCGTTTACCGTTGAAATAGCGTTTGCTTGCTTCTCTGATAAACACAATCTTCAAAAATTTAAATTTAACATCAATAGACATCTTTTATCTTTCTTGAATCCCATTCATATGTTGTCCTTTCCTTAATCCTCTCTATAATCAGTCTTTTCAATCAATTTTTTCCCTGTAACTCTCTACGTTCTAGAGGCATTCCCGCTTTGCTTAGGATGAAATGATTAAAAAAATTTAATGATAATAGAGAAGATGTGGAGCCTCCATCGATGAGTTTGGTTTGCATCCTCTCTCCTGTCGTCGTACTGCCGGTCGCTTTCCACGGTATGCAGCAATAAACATCATCAAAAGAGGTTTGGATGCAGCTGGGTTCCCTTCCCAAATGGAACCCGTAGGCCTCGACCGCGGTTATGGAAAGCGACCGGATGGCATTACCATTTTCCCTTTTAAAATGAGGAAGTCGTTGATTTGGGATGCGACCTGTGCGGATACATTATAGGCCGGTAATTTGATCAGTTCCGCTGTTGAGCCAGGATCCGTCGCCCGGGACGCAGAGATGAAAAAAATAGTTAAATATTCTTCTCTTGCTGATAGATTTTATTTTTACTCCTGTGACAGTGGAGATTTCAGGGGTTATTGGCCCTCGTTCGATGGCGTTCCTTCAGAGGATTGTCGCGATTGCGTCTCGATTAAGGGACCAACCTCGCGAAACGGAGTGGCTCTTGCACCGTGTCTCACTGGCCATGGTTCGAGGTAATGCTTTCTCCATCACTGCGGCTGGCAGAGGATAGAAAAATTGTTTATTGTTACGTTGTTCTGGAATTGTCATCAATGGTCAGCTGTACTTGTTTTGTTTCAATAAGATTTAATTTTAAAAAAAATTCTCAAATTGAACTTACTTGACTCGTCTACTAAAACTGATAAAAAATGTAAACTACAAAAAATGTATATCAATATAAATTTATTTTAATTTTATTAATTATTATTCAATTAATTAATGGTTGGTTTATTTGTTTTAACTTGCCTAAAAATTTTAGGCTAAAAGTTTGTGTGGTTAATAGTAATAAAATTATAAAAATCAAAAACAAAAGAAAATGTTTAGGAAATATATAATATATTTTATTAAACATTATATTTATTCACAAAACACTTTTTTTTTACAATATTTCTTGCCCGTTTAAAGTATACTATTCATGACCCGTTTAGTGACTAAAAGTTCAGATTATAAAACATTGAAGTTGCTTTCAACATTAAAAAAATCCTCTTTTTGATGAAAGTTGAAATAAAAATATTTAAATTATTCTTTGTATAAGGAAAGCTGAAATATAAATAAGCACGCACGCAATCACGGGAAGGTGGAAAAAGAGAGAGAGAGGTGGAAAGAAAGAGAGGTGGAAGGAGAGAGAGGTGGAAGGAGAGAGAGGTGGAAGAAGAGAGAGGTGGAAGGAGAGAGAGGTGGAAGGGGAGAGAGGTGGAAGAAGAGAGAGGTGGAAAAAGAGTAAGGTGAGAGGAGAGAGAGGTGGAAGAAGAGAGAGGTGGAAAGAGAGAGAGGTGGAAAGAGAGAGAGGTGGAAGGAGAGAGGGGTGGAAGGAGAGAGAAGTGGAAGGAGAGAGGTGGAAGGAGAGAGAGGCGGAAGGGGAGAGAGGTGGAAGAAGAGAGAGGTGGAAAAAGAGAGAGGTGGAATGAGAGAGAGGTGGAAGAAGAGAGAGGTGGAAGGAGAGAGAGGTGGAAGGAGAGAGAGGTGGAAGAAGAGAGAGGTGGAAGGGAAGAGAGGTGGAAGAAGAGAGAGGTGGTGAAAGAGAGAGGTGGAAGGAGAGAAGTGGAAAGAGAAAGAGGTGGAAGGAGAGAGAGGTGGAAGGAGAGAGAGAGAGGTGGTAGGCGAGAGATTTTGAAAGAGAGAGCGTTTTTTTTCTCCATTTCATTCTCTCCCTCTTCCTACACGATAATAAAATGCCCTCCGTCGATATGTCTGCTCGTTTGTAGCTTCTTTTATTCCGTAAAATGGACTCGTCACTGGTCTCCTTGTCAACAAATTTCTTTGTTAGACGTAATTTTCTGTAGAAATTTTAACTCTGCTTAACAAAACGTTTTATTTGAAACAGAACGATTTCACATACACCCAGTCTTACTCACAAGATAATTTTTGTTTCTATTTTGATTTTTCTGTTTTTTATAAAGTTTTTCTCTCTTCATATTTAATGAAAGACAATTTTTTTTTATTTTCATAGTTTATTAATGTATAGAAATATAATGAAGTCATCTAAAACAGAAAAATATGACGGATTAATGGACACATGTGTAGTTAGCACCTTTCCCCAAAAATTCGAAAATCTGTACTATTATAAAAGTCTGTGAACGTCACTTGTGTGTTTGCCAGAAGTTATATATAGGGAGTGGGTGAAAGAAAGAGGTAAATTTATTATCGTGTAGGAAGAGGGAGAGAAGGAAATGGAGAAAAAAACGCCCTCTCTTTCAAAATCTCTCGCCTACCACCTCTCTCTCTCCTTCCACCTCTCTCTCTCTCTTTCCACCTCTCTCTCCTTCCACCTCTCTCTCTCTCCTTTCACCTTCCCGTGATTGCGTGCGTGCTTATTTATATTTCAGCTTTCTTTATACAAAGAATAATTTAAATATTTTTATTTCAACTTTCATCAAAAAGAGGATTTTTTAATGTTGAAAGCAACATGTTTTATAATCTGAACTTTTAGTCACTAAACGGGTCATGAATAGTATACTTTATACGAGAAAAAAAATATTGTAAAAAAAAAAGTGTTTTGTGAATAAATATAATGTTTAATAAAATGTTTGTATATTTCCTAAACATTTTTTTTTGCTTTTTATAATTTTATTACTATTAACCACACAAACTTTTAACCTAAAATTTTTAGGCAAGTTAAAACAAATAAACCAACCATAAGAAAATTAATTAATTGAATAATAATTAATAAAATTAAAATAAATTTATATTGATATACATTTTTTGTAGTTTACATTTTTTATCAATTTTAGTAGACGAGTCAAGTAAGTTCAATTTGAGAATTTTTTTTTTAAATTAAAATTTATTGAAATAAAACAAGTACAGTTGACCATTGATGACAATTCCAGAACAACTTAACAATAAACAATTTTTTCTAACCTCTGCCAGCCGCAATGATGGAGAAAACATTACCTCGAACCATGGCCAGTGAGACACGGTGCAAGAGCCACTCCGTTTCGCGAGGCTGGTCCCTTAATCGAGACGCAATCGCGCCAATCCTCCGAAGGAACGCCATCGAACGAGGGCCAATAACCCCTGAAGTCTCCATTGCCACAGGAGTAAAAAAAAATCTATCAGCAAAAGAAGAATATTCAACTATTTTTTTTTTATCTCTGCATCCCGAGCGACGGATCCTGGCTCAACCGCGGACCTGATCAAATTACGGACCGAAAATGTATCCGCACAGGTCTCATCCCAAATCAACGACTTCCCCATTTTAAAAGGGAAAATGGTAATGCCATCTGGCCGCTTTCCATCACCGCGGTCGAGGCCTACGGGTTCGATTTGGGAAGGGAATCCAGCTGCATCCAAACCTCTTTTGATGATGTCGTTAATGGCTGAATGCCGTGGAAAGCGACCGGCACTACGACGACAGGAGAGAGGATGCAAACCAAACTCATCGATGGAGGCTCTACATCTGTATCTGTGATGCTCACATATTTTTCCTAAACTAACTCCAAGTAAATAGTAAACACAACAAGTTTGTTCCAACGGGTCACGGGTGGTCGGGTAAGTTTTTAAATTGGAATTTGGTGGAAAAATACACAATGACTAAACATCTGTTTTATTTGCATTCTTTCATATCGTGAAAAATTAATTTTAGTGTAATATATTTACGATATCGAGAGTTTAATGGAGAATATGGTATAACTTTTCAAAAACATTTTACTTAAGGATGGCTGTACTATGAGATTATTATTCACAGGAATGTAATTTATTCCCTGTTTTTAGCTTCAGGGATGAAATTGATTCCCTGTTTTTAGCTTCAGAGATGAAATTGATTTCCTGTTCTTAGCTTCAGGAATGAAATTGATTCCTTGTTTTTAGCTTCAGGGATAAAATTGATTCCCTGTTTTTAGCTTCAGGAATGAAATTGATTTCTTGTTTTTAGCTTCAGGGATGAAATTGATTTCCTATTCTTAGTTTCACGAATGAAATTGATTCCTTGTTTTTAGCTTCAGGGATGAAATTGATTCCCTGTTTTTAGCTTCAAGGATGAAATTGATTCCCTGTTTTTAGCTTCAGGGATGAAATTGATTTCCTGTTCTTAGCTTCAGGGATGAAATTGATTCCCTGTTTTTAGCTTCAGGGATGAAATTGATTTCCTGTTCTTAGCTTCAGGGATGAAATTGATTCCCTGTTTTTAGCTTCAGGGATGAAATTGATTCCCTGTTTTTAGCTTCAGGGATGAAATTGATTTCCTGTTCTTAGCTTCAGGAATGAAATTGATTCCTTGTTTTTAGCTTCAGGGATGAAATTGATTCCCTGTTTTTAGCTTCAGGGATGAAATTGATTGCTTGTTTTTAGCTTCAGGGATGAAATTGATTCCCTGTTTTTAGCTTCAGGGATGAAATTGATTTCCTGTTCTTAGCTTCAGGAATGAAATTGATTCCTTGTTTTTAGCTTCAGGGATGAAATTGATTCCCTGTTTTTAGCTTCAGGGATGAAATTGATTTCCTGTTCTTAGCTTCAGGAATGAAATTGATTCCTTGTTTTTAGCTTCAGGGATGAAATTGATTCCCTGTTTTTAGCTTCAAGGATGAAATTGATTCCCTGTTTTTAGCTTCAGGGATGAAATTGATTTCCTGTTCTTAGCTTCACGAATGAAATTGATTCCTTGTTTTTAATTTCAGGGATGAAATTGATTCCGTTTTTAGCTTCATAAACACCTAGTCGTATTATATCCAAGGCTGTAATTTATTCCTTGTTTTTAATTTCAGGGATGAAATTGATTCCGTTTTTAGCTTCATAAACACCTAGTCGTATTATATCCAAGGCTGTAATTTATTCCCTGTTTTTAAATTCAGGGATTAAATTTATTCCCTGTTTTTAGCTTCAGGGTTGAAATTTATTTCGTTTTGAGCTTCAGAAACACCTGATCGTATTATACATAAGGATGTAATTTATTTCCTGTTTTTTAACTTCAGAAATACAGGATTGTATTATAATCAACGGTGGAATTTATTTCCTGTTTTTATCTACAGAAACACGACGGGGGTTATATTATAGTCAACGATGTAAATGATTCACTGACTTTAGCTTCAGAAACACGTAGCCATGTTATACTCGAGTCGAATTATAGTCAATCGTGTTAAACACAAAAAGATATGGTAAGGAATTTTATTATTTTGGTGGCAGGGGGGTGCTAGAGCAAAAGTTTAGAGATTGGTCCTCACCGAGTGAATTAGTCATGTCTGTCTTGGAAAAACAACCGTATGAAAATGCTACCTTTATTTTAGTTTATCAGAAAATCAGTTTTCTGTGCTATGATTACACAGCTTTTAGATTTAGAACAAAGAAAGAAAGAAAAAAGAAAGAAAGAAAGAAAAAAGAGAGAGAGAAAGAAAGAAAGAAAGAAAGAAAGAAAGGTTAAATGCGAAAGAAATGCTAAACATTCAATAAACCAGTTAATTGTTTTGATTAATTCAGATAACACCTGGATTTCCATTTGTCATTCTGTAAGATTCTTTTTTGGGGTGGGTGGAGTAGAATGCGTTGTTGATGGTTTTCTTGATGATAGAACAGATGGTCAAAAGTTTTTGAGGGTTTTTTTTATATATTTATTTAGATGTACAAGAGGACTTTGTTAATCATTGTAAAGATTCGCCTGTAGAGAGAATATTGTTTAAATGTATAAACGTACACACATTCACAAACACTCACAAAGTGAGAGAGAAACGAAAAAAGAAGAAAGAGAGGTATTGGAAATTAATTAAGGTGATTCATTGACACAGCTTCAAATGTCTTTGTCTCAAAGACAAAATATTTTCGTTAAAAAAACACGCGCAAATATATAAATATATATATGCATGCGTGTGTGCGTGCGCATGTATGTATGTGTGTGTGCGCAAAAATTTATATATACATATATATGTGTGTGTTTGTCTGTGTGTGTCTGTGTGTGTGTATAAAGTCAGTATAAGTAAAAAATAAAAGTACATTTTTTTTTCTTTTCTAACACGTTTCGCCCCTCGAGGAACTTCATCAAGATAAATAACTGAATTTATTGATAAAAGTTTCTCAGGAGACGAAACGCGTCGGTAAATAAAAGTTTCCTTTTGTCTTTGAGACAAACACAAATAGAAAAAAAAAACACAAAACACACACACAAATTTACTAATTAAATAAAACTTTAAAATATCCACATCACAAATGCATACACACACAGACATATGTATCAATAAACAGAGATAGGTACACACACAGACATATATATATCGATAAATAGATAGGTAACTAGACTCAAACGCAGCAAATATATATATATATATATATATATATATATATATATATATATATATATATGAATTATTGCTATTAATGAGATCCAAACGATTTACCTCATACAGATGATCATTTCATCCATGGGAAACTAGTTTTTCCCTGGAGTTATCAATACAAATACTTTTACTAAAATTAATAAAATCCCACGTTTCTTTACAGGAAATTTGAAAGGCAAAGGAAGGAAAGAAAGAAAAAAGAAAAAGGAAAGAATAAAAGGAGAGGGAGTAAGAAGTGGCCTAAAATAGAGGAGGGAGTTATATAGATAAAGAGGGTTAAGAGACCTAAGATGGTTGTGGTGGAATCGGGTAAAGATAAACGCGACAGTTGAAAATGAACACTGACATAAATGTAACCTATCAAAACCTGTGCAAGGAAAAGAAT